TATAAGAAAAAAGGGACGTATATCGGTATAATATGTTCTTATATTGCTGCAAAGCACAGCTCAGAAAATCCTTTTTTTCCTACCCCTAATCCCCCCTCCCCTCCCCCGTCGGGTTCATTTACGTCGAGGATGTGCCGTACAAGCAAGCGTGCGACATAAGTTTTGTTAGGAAAACCACCATCTTTTTAAATTTTTGATCAATATGAGAAAATTATATGTGTCAAAAGTGTCAATAGTTCAACATCTGGGGCATGGGGTCTATATTTAACCATTTAGCCCAACGATAACAACAAATTGGGACGGCCGCGCTATGATGACGGTGGGCGAGTTGTTTTCCACCGCCATCATATAATGCGAATTCGCATTGAATTCGTGCAGAAACTTCCAAATGAGAATTCGCGGAACGAAATTTCATTAAACACACTAACAATAGACTTCCGCGGAAGAGGAGACATTCTGGGAAATTATTAAATGCTGCAATATTGTCATTCAAAATGATGGAGGGGTAGGGAAATGGAAAGAGGAGGGAAACCCGTCGGTCGATTCAGTGCGAAAAAGCTTGGAAGAAAGCGAAAACCGCGTTCTTTATTTGGATTGATCTCTTATTTTCATTAATCAAGTAACAGGAGAAAAGAGCTGGGTGGGGAGGGGGGGTGAACACGTTCCTTCTTCTCCCCAGGCCAGCATCCGGTCAGCGATCAGATAAATAGGCGCTAATAACTTCTAAGAAGCATCAAAAAAGTTCCCACTTCGAGGGTGGGATTACCATCATCCGAATGGAAGTACCGTACTTGGAATCGGTTCACCCACCTGGATCTACTTTTCCTTGCCCGGAAGTCCTCATGCTCATCATGGTAGTTCTAGTTTGGTACAAAAAAGTCCTAAACTCCCTTCTCCAAGATTATCAGTGTCCAATAAGCGCTATGATATTTCGCCTTGCCCTCGGCTCAGAAGAGGCGCGTAGTGCACGTGAAATGGCAAGTATCAACATTGAAGAAAACCTCACCAGTCCATTAAGACTTCACCCAACAGCTGGAGTGCTAGCGTCGTATAAACACCCTTCAGGGATGATTTATCTTATTCTGAATTATAGTTGGCGCATTGGGGAGAGCAGTCTGGACGGAACATCCCGCAATAGTGTCCAGGTTGCCCCTGTAGAAACCTCGGCATAATGTGTAGATATGTTTTCGTTCCTCCTGCCGAGTCAAGTGATGATTTTCCTTTTGCCTGTCTTTTAGACCTTTTCGCCTTTCTTCACAAACAACAGCTTTTTTTTTGCAATTTTGCGATGCGCTAGCTCACACCGTGTACTTGTTTTTCTTTTGCAGATGCAGGTGAGTACAAACAGAACCTTCCTTCGTTCAGAACGAATTAGATCCTATCCAACAAATTTTTTTTGGTGGGACTGAAAAGAAATCAAGTCAGCAGCTTTACATGGTTCGAGGGCAATTTAAAGGGTACTGAGGAGGGGGGGGGGTGCGCGCCAGTATTGGTTTCATATCTGCACTGCACGAAGAATTTTGTTGTCAGAAAACTCTAGAATAGTTTAGACTTCAGCACGTATTCCAAATGTCCAAAGCGTAGCGCTTCACCCCCACCAAAATTGACCAAAATTGGAGACCTTATGATTTTGCTGGTTTTTTTAGTTGTTCGCTTAAAAAATTGAGTTAAGCATTCACAGCTGCTTAAGTAACCCTCATGTGGGTGCAAATGGGGTGCACTGCGGTCACACTGATCGCCGATAGCTTGCAAATGAGGAATCTTGTTGTCGACTGGATTTTATTGACCTCGCATGACGGCCACCGTAGCGGTCACACCCGCGAAAGCGATAAACCTGTGAGAAAATCGCTTACATCACATGGTATTCCGCTGGACGAAGAGCAATCGAACAGATCGGCGACATCCATTTCCGCGGTTAAGCGGGAGAAATCGGAGGACACCCCTATGAGATCTGCCGGGTGATGTGCTTGCCAGTGTCTTGCTTGTAGGGCAGCGGTCTTAAAAAAATGGGACCATTAGTACGCTTTATTCTTTTTGGGACCCTTTTTCTGTAATAAAAAGTGGGGGTCACCAATTAGGAAGCCATGGTGGTTGTGCGTCTCAGGCCCAGTTCTTCGCCCATCCGCTTATCGCGGAATGTCCCCTATGAGTTCTTTTCATTAGAGGTGTCACTGCTCTCTAGTGCACTTTTGAATGCGTTGGAACATTACCTTATAAATAAATAAACCAATAAATAGATAGATGCGCTTCATCAAAATGGAACGCCTGCCCCATTCCAAAAAGGCCAGATCGGCCCGAATCTAGTCAAGCTTTTTTTTCCAGCGCGACGCGCTATTTATTTTCAGCCCCCCGCTGTTCTTGTCTGCTCAAGGAAGCGAAACCGGATGCAGGGCGAGAAAGATGATGGATTTCACCCATGGTCACGCTGGTGACTGACTTTGTGAAGAACTTCTGATAAATTGTTAATAATTGCTTATGCCAGCAGGCGAACTGGCTAGACTTCTGCGCTCAGTGCGTTGTAAATTTTGGAGCACGCAAATATCCAGCACTTTTCTTTAAGAACACATCAGACCGACGTTTTTGTGGACGACATTTCACTAACTTCTTTATTGTTCTGTGCGAATTGCGGCTGCAATTTGCACGGCTCGGTAAAGAATTAGAAAACACAAAGAAACCGAAGTTTCCGTTATGCGCAGATTGTTCTGAGTGTTTATCGATGTTAATGCGAGTCGGAATCACATATTACTGCGCACAATCCAGCTGTTGTGAGGATTTGGAAAACTCCTCCCGTTGGAACGAGTTTCTGCCTCTTTCATGTTTTGCGAAACCGAATTTGCAGAGAACAATGAGTAAACAAGGATACAGGGCTAATCATATTATGCTAACTATTACCGATGTTTCGTAGTGGTGAACTGTCCCGGGGTCAGTTACCCTACACTTAACAGTTGTGGGAAACTCTATTCAGGCTGGACGAGGTTTTTCTGGACTTTTTTCGCCATGTCTTTCGACTGAAACAGGTAATAATAAGGAAAGGTGAACAAGACGATCAGAGAGGACAAGGCGGCTTACGTTAGCGGTTTCTCCGAATTTCGTCTGGCATTGCCCTTCGGCGCCCTAATTACCACTGTTGCATAGGGAACTCCTCCCTCTTGGACGAGTTTTCCGCTCCTTTCTCCCATGTCTTGTGAACTGAACTTCGCACAGCGCTATGAAGTGAACAAGACAGGAACAAGGGCGATTACATTATGAGACTGCTTCAATGTCTCGTCGGTGTGATTGCGGGTCGATGGCACTATCACCTACTGTAGTGTCAGGAACTCTTTCCCGTTTGGGAAGTTTTTTCCCGAGTTTCTTGCCATGTCTTGTGCACGTACAAGCCGTTCTTATAGAAGGAATGGTAATGACCTAAAAGCGAAAAGATAGGCTTCCATCAAGCAGTTATTCTGGAGCTGTCGTCGCTGAATGAGTGCCGGTCCCATTAATTAAACGCATAACTCTTTACGGCCGCAGCGAGGCTCTTTGCCTTGACGAGTTTCCCCCGGACAGTCTGCCATTCCCCCAATAAAACCCAACGATTCAAGATCGCTTACCCTATTGGGTTGTTTTACAAAATAGCAATTGGGCGCAGTTTGGTTAGAGAGAGGGGGACATTTGCCACTTGATCGTCATTCCATCGTTTCTGGCCGAGGCCACCAGTAGAGATCTAAGAGATCTTGTGAAGCCAGAAAGTTAACGGCTCATAGAGATAACTTGTCAACCCTTGTAAAGAATGCCTGTCAACCCTTGTAAAGTCCAACAAACGCCCAAAATGTTTTTTTATTAGCAAGTGGATAATTGCCCCCACCCCAAGCCAACTAACTCTGGCGCCGGGCTTCTCCGTCAAAAGCAATCATTCGTATATGCACTGACTGACTTGTTTGTGCAAGTGTTCACGTAAGCTGGTTACTAGTTTTCTTCATTGTTCGTAGCCAGGTGGCCATTTAAATGCCCCAACCATGCAAGCAATTGCACGCATTGGAGTAATTGTTCTGTTTGCTACGCATAGCGCTGAGCGTGAAGGCTAGGATCGGAGCGATCTCTGTCCAGCACCAGGAACTTTTTGGGTTCGTCCGGCATTTGGTGCAGCTTGGTGCAGTAGTACGTGCAGCTTAGGTAGTCCGAGTTTGCAACAAGAACAGCCAGGAAAGAAGTGTTAGGTGCCCTCATTTCTACGGCACTTAGTGCTGAAGGGTGCAAAGAAACTCTCCAGGGTTATATTCTTGCAAACATTGAGAATATTTATCATTAAGAATGCCTTGTGAGCAGTGCACCGAAATGCTCCCGCCCCCTTTGGTCTAGCTTTCCTGTTTGCGGGGTACTCTATCTTTGAAATAGAATCTGGAATAGGTTCTCCAAGGAGCCATACCATTAATTGTTCGCAGAAACTGACTGTATGCCTAGTTCCGTCTTCCGATTTCCGAATTCACAGCCACATTTTCCCAGAAAAACTGTAATGTTTAGAATTTTTACTTTTTACATAAATATTGTGACAACCATGGCACTTGTTACATACAATACAACAGAAAACAACGATTGCTAAAGTCGGACCCGTGGAGATGATGAGTAAAGAAAAGTTACACGAAAAGAAACCGGGGAAAAAGTACAGTACGCCATTCGATAGTGATCTACACAGCTTCTATTTGATCTAAAGTAACGATACAATTTGTAAAGGTGAAACAGGTGAAACCCGAGATGAAATAAAAAGAAAACTCTGTGTAAGAACAACAGAGGATGACTTAGAAGAAGAAAGAAACTTCACCCAAACTACGGTGAATTGCCCCTTTGTGAATGTGTAACCGCTCAGTGGAAAAACTCGTATAATTATGGGCGTGTCATTGAACGACACACCGTTCGTAAGCCTTCAGTTTAGTAGTTGTGAGACAACTCGTCCGAATGTTCGTCGTTTCAGATTCGAGAACATTCGTCATAGGTGGTGAAAAGGGACTCGTCTTCTTCGAGAATTGTTGGCATCGGTTCTACATGTGACAGATGCGAGGAGAGCGATGATCTGGAAACGAAACGATTACGGTAGGAAATTGCGCAAGATTTCATAGTGAGGGTAAAGGTTCAAGGTAGACAGGCAGGGGGGTGGAGGCACGGCTATTCACGCATGCTCGTTTCCACATGTGGAACGGCCCAGTCTTAAGGCGTGCCTCCTCCAACTACTTTCGCTCTGGAGTCTAGAAAGTTTTTTGGTGGAGGGAACCTTGAAGCGTCTAGTAGCCCATTTGAACGGCGCGCATCTGGTCATTATGCCTAATTTTATGGCTTGCATTTCAATGAAGAAGGTTTATGGGACCAAACCCGTACGGCGTTCGGTGGTTTGCGGTGACAGACGAGCCAAAGACCGAGTGGAAAGGCTGGTTCGTGGAAAAAGAAGGGGGAAGACGAGACAACGATCAGTTGGCCCGGATGTTTTTCTAGGGGATATGATGGAAGCCGAGCTATGCGACGAGTCATATGATGAGAAAACCCGATGGGCTAGAAATCTAGAAATCACATTCACGCGATAATCTTCCAGAAGCGGGTCAAAAGAAGCGAAAGTTGTATATGGGGGGAGGGGGGCAAGTGGGAAAGAGAAGCGCTGAGAGAGATATGCAGTCCTCGCTGCCATGTTGTACTCCCTAACACACTTCCCGTGGCAATAAAGGAAGGCTGTCGTGTGGGTATCCCGGATAGTTATTGTTTATTTTTCTCCTTCAAATATTTCTAAGGCGAAGCAATGTGCTACGAAAAGGTGGAGGCGGGTTTTTGTAGTTTCCGGAGCTTTTCCCAGAAGTTACACAGCTTATCCGGAAATCCTTCAGTTCTTGGAGATGTTGAAAACAAGGAAGAGAGGACCGATCAAAACAAAGCTTTTTGCAAACGCACGGGACCAGCGACTTTTCCATTCATCCCGAGAAATGGCACTTTCTAAGACGACTTTAAGTCTGCAAGGGCGTTGCGTGGGATTATAGCGAAGCTCAAGTGTTATCTGGCGGGGGATTAGAAGGAGGAAGAAAGGCGCCCTTGTGAGGTCTTAAAGGGCGCAATTGAAACATTTCACTCACCTCTGTCGCTGTTTCTTCCTTTGCTCATAAATCTGTGCAAGGCAGGATTTGGACGATTGAACTTGATCTGAAACGAAGGAGTATTGTGAGTGATGAATAGGCATTACTTGGGAGGAAATAGGCTAGTAATCATCTCTCCGCGAAGCTGTCAGCACGGAGACATATCGAGGCTATTTCCTGTGCTACCCCCTTACGCTCTCATTCCCGAGAGAAACGAACGGCGATTGAGCAGAAATAGAGCCTGTTGGGGGGAAATACGCTCGGATGATTGGCAGCCGCAATTTCAGTAACCCAATATGCCATAAGTCAGTTGAAAAAACGTTCGGGAAACGGGGAAACGGTAACTGGTACTAGGAAACTAACCATGAGGATTTTATGGGCGCAGGTTTCCCCCAAAATTTTCTCTTTCACCCATTAATCCATCGAAAAGTTTTTTCAAAGAGAACATCCAATCAAGGAACGGGACCTACAGCCAAATCATCCCATAAATTTTTTCTTTCACGTCTTTTTTATTTCCTTTCAATTGCATTCGTTCCCAACTATTTCGCCATGGGTGGTTCCAGGCTCGTCGGGTTGGGTTTAGGGCCGGAGACCTCCCTAGAAGAGCTCAGTTGCTTGGGAAAGTTCCAGAGAGCGAAATAAATAGCTCCCAAGAGGTACCTGAGCATCAGGAGGACCTGT